TTACTTGATAATTGTTCTTATTGTATAGTTTGACTATGTTAAAGCTAAAACCTTTCTTTTTTATTTAGTCAAAAAGGGGGAAATGTTGTGGAACAGAATATTTGTTTAAGCAAAGATGTGTTACATTTGTTTGTGCTGCACGTGTTTAATTATGTAAAGATGTGTTGCTGTTTTACTTTGCCTGTCTAAGGCACCTGATTGGTCTAATAAAAAGCTGAACAGCCAATAGATAGGCAGAGGAGGGATAGGTGGGGCTGGTGGGCAGAGAGAAAAGGGGAGCCAGCCAGCCAGCCAGCCAGCCAGCCAGGGACCAGCCAGCCGGACACGAAGGACACAGTAAAGCAGGATGGACAGTACACAGATGAGGTATATAAACCTCAGGACAGCACATAGATGAACAGAAATGGGTTAATTTAAGTTAAAAAAAAGTTAGCTAGAAACAAGCCAAGCTAAGGCCAAGCATTCATAATTCATAAGCCTATGTGTCATGATTTGGGGGCTGGAGGTCCAAGAAAGCCTGCTACACAGGAGCTGTTTGGGGAAGAGGGTCTGTTTCAATCTGTTTTCTATTGCTATAATGGAATACCCGACAGTGGGTCACTTACAAAGAAAAAAGTTCAATTAACTAAAAAACTGAAAGGCTGTGAAGTCTATGGCCACAGCACCTGCTTAGGTTCCGGTGAGACTTTGTGTGGTTTGACTCATGGCAGAAAGCGAGACCACAATGGGGCACACATGCTTTATAATGTACTTGTGAGGCCACTAACTAGGTGGTTAGGTTTTTTTTTTTTTCAACATGACACAAGCTAGAGTCATGTGGGAAGAAGGAACCTTAATTGAGGGACTGCCTGGAGGCAAGTCTGTGGGACATTTTCTTGATTCATCACTGTTGTGTGACAGCCCCTGCCCACTAAGGTGGAGCCACCGTGGACAGGTAGTCATGGGTGGAATAGGAAAGTAGGCCGAACAAACCAGAGACATAGAGCCAGTCAGCAGCATTCCTCCATGGTCTCTGCTTCAGTCCCTGCCCTGACTGTCCTCAACGATGGACGGATGGACTGTAAGCTGTAAAACGGCTTCTCCTCCCCAAACTGCTTCTGGTCCTAGTCTTTATCACAGCAACAGAAAGCCAACTCAGACACTAATAAAGTCCTAGAGAATAGCCCACAGGAAAGGCATTAGTCCCTCTTTTCAAGGCCCCACCACCACCAACCACAACGACAATGAGATGTCAGCCTGCCTCTGCATTTTGATTGGTTTTCTGTAGTGGTCTCCATCGGTTGCAAAGAGAAGTTTCCTTGATGAAGGGTGAGGGCTGCATTTATCTGTGGGTGTGCTGACAAGTATGTAGACTGTAGTTGGGGATCATGCTGGTTTAGTGAATGGTGGTTGTAGGTTCCTTTACATATACGCATGTAACAACAATTGCAGTAAAAAGTCTGAAAGAAAGCAAGGAGTATGTGGGAGGGTTTGGAGGAGGAAAGGGAAGGGAAAACGTTATAATCACCATTTTTAAAATAAAAGAAACAAGAGCGTAACAATTCAGCATAAGAGGCTTGTAGCAGGCTTTCTCTTGGGCCACCGACCAAGACACGGACACTTAGTATTAGTTATGAATGCTCAGCCTTATCTTATGCTTGCCCCACAAGCTCTTATAACTTAAATTAACCTGTTTCTCTTCATCTATGTTTTGCCTTGGGGCTTTTTACCTTTCTTTCATTCTGTATGTCCTACTCTGTGTCTGTCTGTCTGTTTGGCAGCTGCCTGGCTGGCTGGCCCTGGGAGTCTCCCTCTCTTTCTCTCGTTCTCTCCCCCATTCTAGATCCCTCCTCCTACTTATTCTCTCTGCCCTCCAGTCCCACCTATCCCTCTACTGCCTAGCTATTGGCCGGTCAGCTTTTTATTAGACCAATCAGGTGCCTTAGGCAGCAAGGTAAAACAGCAACACATATTTACATCATTAAACAAATGCAGCACAGACAAATATAACACATCTTTACCTAGTTAAAGTAATATTCCACAACATAAACCAATGTAACACATCTTTGCCTAGTTAAAGCAATATTCCACAACATAAACTAATGTAACACATCTTTACATAGTAATATTCTGCCACAGAGGCCAGATATGTGGCTCAGTTGACAGTCTAACATGAAGCTCTGGGTTCAATCCCAGTAGCACACAGACAGGGCACAATGACACACATCTGCAATCGCAGCCCTTAGGAGGCAAAGGTGGAAGAATCAAGAGTTGAAGTTCATCCTTGGCTATGCAGCAAGGAGGCTAGCTTGGATTACATGAAACTGTCTAAACAACAGTTTCCGAGGAGATGAGATCCAACTCACATAGGGTCCTTGCAGAGATCCGGGTCCCCACCACCTTCTGCCTGGGCAGGTGACTTGGCCAAGGGTGACTGTCTCTCAAAGTGAGGAGGGCAGCAACCTGTGGAGGTTTCTGTTTAGGGAGTAGCTCCCTAGATGGTGAGACAGGCATCTGTTCATTCTTTCCAGTAAGTGAAGGGAAGATAGGAAGGCAGAGTGCCCCAATGGGGATGACCAGACACTAGATCCCTGGCCTGAAGTCCCTCTGCCAGTCCAGCTCCTGTGCAGACTCTCCATGCCATCCATGACTGGCACCCCACCCCACCCCTTACTCCTGCCTTTCTTTCTCTTTCTGGAGCGTTTTCCCATTGACTGCCACTTGCTGGCTAGGGCTGGGTGTGGGGCCATCAAGTACCTGTAGAGTGTCTAACCAGAAGGATGCCCACAGCAGGGCATGGTAGCCTATGTCTGTGGTCTCAGCTACTTAGAGGAGTTTAGGGGCCAGTCTGAGCAACAGAGTGGGACCACACCGCCCACCTCCCCTTAGAGAGAGGATTGCCACAACCCCCAGGGACAGAGGCAGTGACAAGGCAGATGATGTTTACTGTGCAGATGAGAACCTGAGTCGGTGCTGGTAGTGTGGACCTATAATCTCAGCTACTCTGGAGGTTGAGGCAGGATTGCAAATTCAAAGCCTTCCTGGGAAATTTAGTGAGACCCTATCTCAAGAAATAGAGAGTGCCGAAGATGTAGCTAAGTGGGGAGTGTTGGGATAGCACGGTGTAGGCCATTTCAACCCTCAGTGTTGTGGGGGAAGGGCTCATTGAGTCCACCGAGCTTACAATCACTTGACTTCAGGTGTATTAGTCAGGGCTCCTTAGCTAACTGGATTAAACAGAAAAGGGAATTTTTAGGTCACCCAAATGAAAAAATTCATGGAGTAATACTTCCTCCAGAATAATCTGTGAAAAATAATGTTTTTTGTCAGGGCAGTGTCCCGATGATCCTACCTAGACTGGACACAAGAGCCCCAGGCTGACCCTAGATGCTTAAGTCCTTATCCTTGCACCAGGCACAGACAGTTGTGGGGGACGCTGTCTAGTGCAGCCTGAGTAGGCATGTGTTTCTGTATGGTTAACCTCCAGCTGTACAGCACAGCCACCAGACATTGACATTCCTCTGTGACATTAATGGGGTTACTGTTTTGTTAGTCATGGGCGGAGCTCACTCAAGGTCTCTCCTATGGAAGACACCCAAGGATGCTGAGCTTCTACTGGCCTCTGGCTGTAAGTCTTGGTGTGTCTGGTGTCTTTCCTTCCAGGTCAGGGTGTCAGAGGCTGTTAATGGCCAGAAGCCCCAGGTTTTTTCCCCCATGTCCCAAGGGTCACTGCCTGGGGATTTTTTTCCCCATGAGGAAGTCTTCCCTGGGAGAGGTAGAGGCCTGCCTTGGCAAAGGGTCACACAGCTCCCAGCAGGGTCTGAGACAGCATCAGGCCAGGCTGGTCCTTGTATGAGGATGGCAGCCCTGTGTGGTATCCATGGGGCACAGGGGTCTTTTGGGGGTGAACAGACCTCAGCTTAGGGGCCATAAAGAGTATCATTCCAGCACCTCCTGTTGGTCCCCAAACCAAACTCAGTTGTGCACACTTGGCTGGATGTAAGACCCTAGCCCCAGGGAGAATGGCCTACCCTACCGGGGCTCTGGGAACTTAAGTTCTGACTTTTTGGCTTGTTCTGTTTGCTTGGTGTTTTCAAGGCAGGGTTTCTCTGTGTAGTCCTGGCTGTCCTGTCCTGGAACTTCTCTGTAGACCAGACTGGCCTCGAACTCAGGGATCCACCTGCCTCTGCCTCCCGAGTGCTGGGATTAAAGGGGTGCGCCACCCCAGCTTGGCTTGTCATTCCAGTCATTCCCAGAACAGGTCCGAAGGCTACCTCAACCACTGTGTGGCTTGTTCCCTCCTCCTCTCCCATCAACAGGGGAGCTTGGCTGAATGAAGGAGAGGTAGAAAGCAGGAGACTGATTTGGAAGCCCGAGCTTGCGAGGTCTGCTCCCTGGAGCTTTGGGCTGCACTGCACAGCTGCAGCTCTGAGCCCTTGCTTCGAGCACCCCAGAGCGATAGAGTGCATAGGGACCCCAGCACCCTGCAGGGCTGGGCAGGAAGTTGCCACCTGTGTGAGACCCTGACTTGCCTCTTTTGTCCCCACCAGGGAGGTTACACAGAGGCTGTGGGAGTTGACTAAGAGGCTGCTAGAGCTCTGTGGGGGCTCTGTCCAGGCCACGGTCCCTCTGCCTAGACTTTAGGTCCTAGATGCTTTAGGCAGGCTGGGAGCTGGACTTCCAGGCGGATGGCAGCCCCCCACTTACACAGCTGTGGAGCTGGGAAAAGAGATTTGGCCAGGCTTCTGGAGCTTTCTAAGGATGGAGGGAGTCTTCCAGACTGGTGGGAGGTGGAGGTGCAGCAGTTTCTCAAGAAGAGCAGGGCCCTGGGGCTCCATTTCCTCTTGTGGAGGAGCTGCGGCTGAGCGGGTGCTGGCTGACTCTGCAGGCTGGCTGTCCCTGGAGCCTGCTGCAAGGGAGCAGAACAGGTCAGGGCAGGTGGCCCCTGAGGCTTTGGAAAAATGGGGCTGGGAGAGGAGGTTGGAGTGCTTAAGGAAAGAACAGAGAGACTTTTGAGCACATAGACCCGGATGGCATACATTTATTGTCCTAACTGGAACACTTCGGAGAATGAAAAGGGGCTGTGTTAATCACACCAGGGAAACAGGTACAAACTGGGGCTCCAAGGCAGACAGAGACCGGGTTACCCTACTTACTACCAGTTCCTAGCTCCGTGGTTTCGGGCAAGTTACATAACCTTTCTGAATTCTGCTTCCTACATAAAAAAGGATACCATGATGTGTTGCTTTTCAAGGCTGGGTGCTGGGTGGCCTTGGCATAGACTTGGCTCTCCATATTGCCTCTGTGAGGTCATGGAAGCTTGTTTGTCCCTGGAACTGATCAGGGGTCACCCATCAGCTCTCCAGAATACAAGGGTCTCATGGGCGTGTGCATGAGACAGAGGTTCCATGGATGCTGGCCAGAGCTGGAGTCAAGTCTCCTGGTCACTGTTCCTAGGGCAGGCCCCTGCTAACACTCCAGTTACTCTTGCCTTCCCTGAGGCTATGGTTGTACGGAACATCCTCATTAGGGCCGGGCCCAGGGCAGCTTCTCTGTCACTCGCCTCTGCTTGCCTCCTCTGGGGGTTGCCCACATGGAATGGTACATTCCCTGGGTTTTTGCTCAGACTGGAGGCCAAGCTGGAGGAAGGAGGCAGCTGCAATTTCGGTGTCAGTTCCAACCTAGAATGTTTCTCTAGATCTGAGTGAAGTCTGTGCCTGCCACTTGTGGTTATCAGATTCTGGACAAATCAAAGTCCCCAGGCTCCTGGTTCCAAACCAGGAGGTTGGGAGAATTGTCCTGTCCTGTCCTTTTATTTTGGAAATAGGGTCTTATGTGGCCTAGGCTGTGGTCAAATTCATGGTATAGCTGAGGATGACGTTGAACTCTTAACCCAACTGGCCTAGAACAGAGGTGGCAGCAGCTTTTCCTTCCAGATAGGCTACCACAGAGAATGCTGGGTCCCTCTAGACCCACAGCTCTCCGGTGACCTTGGCCACTTGGTCCTCCACCCCGTCTTCTCATCCCAACCGGAGTCATGGCTTGCCAGCTCTGGAAGGTTTATTAAGCAAACGGCTCTCAGCTAACTCATTTGACTAGTCTGTCCACTAAACAGCCAAAGTTCCTGGTGGTAGGAACTAGGTGGTTCCTCTGCATAGGTATATGCCCACCTCAGTTCTGAGGTCTCAGGACAGTGGTCTGAAGGCTTCCAGCTCCCTTCTGAACAAGGTCAAGGAGTTGGGCATTACCCAAAGGGCAAATCAGGAAGTATATCAATATTTAATAAATGTTTGCAAGCACAGTCTATTTGGCTATTTTCATCCAGTACAGACTAGGCAGGTTTTTTGTTGTTATTTGTTTTGTTTTCTTTTTTCAAGACAGGATTTCTCTGTGTAGCCCTGGCCGTCCTGGATCATGCAGGCCTCAAACTGAAATCTGCCTGTCTCTGGTTCCAGGAGTGCTGGGACTAAAGGCATGTGCCATCACTGCCCAACTATCCTTTCTTTCTTTTTTTTAAAAAAGGAGAATGTGTCTGCCCAGGTTGGCCCTGAACTCCTGGGCTCAGGTGATCCTTTGGCTCTGCCTCTGGAGTCACTGGGGTTTTTAGCTATGTGACACTATACCCAGCCCTAGGGTTGACAATTTGACAGGCAAAAGAGCGGCACCTCATGTTTTTTTTTTTTTGGTTTTTCGAGACAGGGTTTCTCTGTGCAGCTTTGCGCCTTTCCTGGGACTCACTTGGTAGCCCAGGCTGGCCTCGAACTCACAGAGATCCGCCTGGCTCTGCCTCCCGAGTGCTGGGATTAAAGGCGTGCGCCACCACCGCCCGGCGGCACCTCATGTTTTAATTTGTACTTTTAGTTAGGGAGACAGAGTATTTTCATATATTTGTGGTCATCTGAACTTTGGGGGGAGACTAGCCCACTCACAGCCTTGCTCTGCTGTCTTCGGTGCTGACTTTTTCTTAATGATTTATAGGCACATTGTGCATATTACAGGAGTTACTAGGTAATATATCTTCTGTTTTCTTTGTCCTTTGTCCTTGGTTGAGTTTGCTTCACACAAGAAGTTCTACAGTTTCACAATGTCCCATGTGCCTTTTCTTCTGGCTTCGCGTGTCAGGTTACACTCAGACTTTCTCTGGGGTAGATGATTCAGCCATTGCTGCAGATGCTCTGAGAAACAATGGCCACCACACTTGCAGTGGCAGCAAAGAAAATGTTTATTTAAAAATAAGAACTATCACACGAGATACATTTAAATATTAATAGATAGGAGTGAAAACTTCAAATGGTGTAACAAGACTAACAGCTTTCTCTCCACAGATGGTCAGATGCCGACAAACAAGACGTGCTGCTGAGAAGTGCTGTTAGGAGAATGCATACGAAGGCCTGAGGAACGTTCTATTTACAGGCTTCGGAGGAGCCATAATCCCCAATTTTCTACTTGCTGCTGCTGTTGCTTGAGAAGCACAGGAGGCCGAGCTGGATCCAGTTACACCAGAGAATTTACTTTTAGAAGACGTTTTTCTGCCTGTAGTAGAGCCCCTAAAATGTGGCAAAGAAAAGAAAATTAAAACGCTAAACGAGGCCAAGTTAATGGTCTTTGTCTGTTAACTTGCTAGGAGAACAAGCATGATTTTCTTTGGTCTTGTGTTTGTCTACATTTTCTGTCTGGAAATTCCGAGGGGAGGGTGAGTTTCCCTGTCTGAAGTATCTCAACTCTGTGGCCTGTGACCAACCCACAGACCCTCTCTCCTGTCACGCCTTCCACAGCCTACAGTCAGAATCCTCTGGATCTACTCTGACAAAAGAAGAAGAGAAGACATGCCTTAGATACTCCAAATCTCTGGCCATCAGACGCCCTAGAATTACCGCACTGATAACAGCTTTGTGGGAAGTGGAGATGGGGCAGAGCCTCTGGGTGGCCTCTTCCTAGCCACACTAGTTCTAAGAAGGCTGCAGATCTGGCTCCCTAGGGAGGAGGCCCAAGCTGCCTATGCATTGGTCTGGCATGTGTCAGGGCCACGTAGCTTGCAGCTCCCTCAGCTGCACCCAAAGACCTGCCAACTCTTCCCGCTCACTGCCTCATGCACACAGGGAAGAGGCCCTGCCACAGCCTGAGCTGAGGAGTGTACGTCACTTCTTTGCTGATCCGAGGATGGCAATTTTCTTTCCCCAACAAAACCAGAGCGCAAACCAATACAGGGACAGTGGGCAGCCCCTCAGAGGCTCTGCAAACCCACTCAAGTCCACCATCAGTTCCAGAATCCAGGGTAGTCAGTGGCATCTCAGGACACTCTGCTGGGCTAGGTAGAGTTTTTCAACACTTTAAACCTCTCGCTGGAGGGAAGGCAATTTCACTGCAGATCTGGCAGAGAGGCAGCCTGAAGTTTCCCTATGCTGATTTCCTGTTGAGAAATGAAGCCCGGAGCAAAAACCTGCTGTTTATGTTGATTTACAGAATGAATCTGCCAACAGCAGCCTCCATTTCAAGGGCTCATCCATTTTCCTCCCACTCAGAGAGCCCAGACCACACCTGGCTCATTGTGTGTCATTCTGAGATGTGAGCCCCAGGAGTCTGACGGGTGAAGGGCTCTGGCAAGGAGCCCCAAGTGTTCTCCCACCACACAGGTGAGAAGCGTGGGGGCTGGAAAGCCCTCAGGGTGGGCTGGGAAAGCTGGAGGACCAGAGCAGATGCAAAGAAGCTGCTCTGGTGAGTAGTCACCAAGCTGATCCGAGAGGAAAATCCCTCCTTCAACAGACTAATTACACCTGGCATGGAAGCTGGTGCCGGCTGCAGGACACTATGATGTTGGTTTGTTCTCTGAGACAGGGTGTCACAGAGCCCAGGCTGGCTTTGAACTCGTATTACCTTGATCTCTCATCTTCCTGCCTCCTACCTCCCGAGTGCTAGGGTTATTATAGGCATGGCCCTTCACGCCTGGTTTAAGTTGAGTTCTACTGCTTAAACTAGACTCCAGGTGACATAGCAAGAGCTTCTTCCTCACAAACAAATGCTGTGGAAATTAAAGAAAGGAGCCAGCAGCAAAGAACAGTGTTAGTCTCCTTGCTTCTAACAAGCAGAAGCCAGATGACAGATGGCCACATTTTCAAGGAGTGTCCACAGACAAGCAGCAGTGAACTTGCTCTGAGCAGTCGTGCCAGGCCAGGGTCCAATCCACCTCTGAAACCGAGCAGGGAGGCTGGCCTCAGGCAGCCCTTTCCATGCAGGCCAGGCCAGTTTTCCCACCCTAAACCCAAGAGGGTTGGACCAGAAGCTTTTTAAGGTCTCATGCTCTGTGAGCGACTAAGGAAATATGTCTCCCAAGGGAGAGGAATAAATGAAGGAAATGAGAAAATGTCCTCACTGAGGAATATCTGATGGGCACTTGCGCACTCAAAACCACAAAATTAAGGCACCATTTATGAATGCCTTTAATTCTGTACTCTGGCAGAAGGGTTAGCACATTTAAGAAGTCCGTTTATGGATTTAACAAGGAATGACAATTTGGTGACATTGCTTTCCTTTCTCTTCCCCCACTTAATCTTGTTTTTATCACCCAGAAGGAGAAGAGGCAGAAAAACTGCAAAAGCAAACCCAACAGCTTGCAAAAGTCCCTGACGCTCTGTTTCCCATTGTCTAAGCATTTCTGCTCTAACATGCAGTTCTTTGGGGACCACCATGTCCGGATGGAAGACAAAGCTGCAGAAGGTGGAGGGTACCTGGCAGAGGCTGGGAGAGGGGCTGGTGTCACAGTGCAATGGTGGGAAACAAGCAAGCCTGCTGCCAAGATCTGCCTCCTCTACCTTGGCTTCTCCTTGTGAAGACATGTTGCCGCCCAAAGCCAAGTGAAGGGAAGGGAAGGGAAGGGAAGGGAAGACAGAAGCCACTGACCCAGCCCTAAAGAAACCTGGCTTGCCTGTCTTTGGATTTCCCAGTTGTGGTATCTTCTCAGCTACCCTGCTAGGCTAGGAGGCATTCAAAGCAGGGGAAGGCCGGGGATGTAGCTGGACTGGCAGGCTTGTTTCCCATGCAGGAGGCAATGGTATGATCTCAGCAATGCATAAACATGTGTGATGGACCATGCTGGTAATCTCAGCACTTGGAGGTAGAGGCAGGAGGAGTATAAATTCAGGGTCACCCTTGGCTATAAATCAAGTTTCAAGGCCAGACTGTGATACATGAAACCCTGTCTCAAAAAGCAGCAGAGAGGCCAAGAGAATCCTCAGCCACAGAGGGAGTGTGGCAAACACTGGCAAACTCACAAAAGCCCTGTTATTTACTCAGTGTATGAGTTGTATTTCTGGTGGAAAAGTACCTTAATCAGAGCAATTACCTCAAAACAAACAAAAATCCAAGGTAAGGTCAAAGTTGGGGAAGTTTTTGCAAACTTAAACTAGGTTATTTTAAAAATCTGAAGCCATGCTTTTATTCTGGTTCAGTTCTAAACCATCAGCCTATGAACTGACACCAGCTAATTTCACTAAGCGCTTTAAAGCAAGCTGGAGCACCTGTGTGCACCTCTGTGCCCCCCACCCGACGCCGCAGGAGATAAAGACTGTACCCCTTTGCCTTGAAGCCGCCGTTACTGGTCCTCCTCCTCTTGGGCCGTTGGAAGGCTGGCATTTTCTTCCTCTTTCTTTCATTTCTAGTTTGATTTGCGAAGTAGTGAGAAGATACAGGCTCCTCCTCATCAGGCTCCTCCGGGGTGCTCCTCCCGGTGCCTCTGCTGCCCATCAGGCTTATGCCGGGGGAACTGTCCTCAGCTACAAACAGGAAATGTGGACATTACAGGTGACCCCGTGTCTGGAGCCGAATACTAGCTGCTTTCCCGGGGCTTACATGCTGTACGGATTCAACAACTTGGCAGGAATCAAACCTTTCTATTTTGAAAAGCTCAAGTGTGTTCAATGGCAATTTATATTTAATGAAAGAATCAAAATTCATTACTTAAAAAATTTGTGATAATTTTTAACTCAACTGGAGATGTGAGGTTTAGTTCACACGGCTGCACGAGGCCTATGTCCATTTTACATTGTGTAACTAATCTTTGAGAGTTGAAGTGAAGGATGCCAAAAGTATTAGCTGATTTTATTTATCATTTTAAACATGCTGAGAAAATAAGTCCAATATAAAAAGGCAATAAATTATGTTCTCCCCCATCTTTAAGCAATAGTCTCTTAATAATAAATGCACCAGAAAATTTAGTGCCATATTTTACTCCTTGCAGACAGAAGCCATTTCTTTGCATAATTGTCATGAACACTTCACATATCAAGCAGGAGCCTGGCCTGAGTGAAACATACATTTGCAAGGGAGAAAGTAATTTCCATGGGTATTTGCATCTTTTTGTTTTGTTTTGTTTTTCAAGACAGGGTTTCTCTGTGTAGTCCTGGCTGTTCTGGAACTCGCTCTGTAGATCAGGCTGGCCTCGAACTCACAGAGATCTCCCATCTTCTGTCTCCTGAGTGCTAGGATTAAAGACATGCACCACCACCGCCCAACTCTTATTTTCTTGATGAAGAGGAGGAAGGAGCTCAGCCTACCTTTGGCCAAGCTGTCCTTGGGAAGGCGGTCCTGGGGTGTATGGGAGGGTGGTGTGTATGGGAGGGCAGGCTGAACAAGCCAAGTGGGGAACAAGCCAGTAAGCCAGTGTTCCTTCATAGCCTCTGCTTCAGCTCCTGCCTTGGCCTCCCTTAGCGGACTATGACTGGGGATCTATAAGCCAAATAAACCCTTTGCTCCCTATGGTGGTATTTTGTTCCCCAAAATATTGTGCACTCTAATAAACTTATCTGGGGTCAGAGACAGAACAGCCACAATATTAAACACAGAGGATAGGCATTAGTAGCACACGCCTTTAATCCTAGCATTCCAGGGGCAGAAATCCATGTGTTCAAGGATACAGTCAAGCATGGTGACTCATGCCTTTAATCCCAGGAAGCAAGCCTTTAATCCTAGGGAGTGATGGTAGAAAGCAGAAAGGTATATAAGGCGTGAGGACCAGAAACTAGAAGCATTTGGCCTGGTTAAGCTTTTAGCTGGTTAAGCTTCAGGCTTTCGAGCAGTTCAGCTGAGAGCCATTGGGATGAGGACACAGAAGCTTCCAGTCTGAGGAAACAAGAGCAGCTGAGGAATTGGCAAGGTGAGGTAGCTGTGGTTTGTTCTGCATCTGGTTTACCAACATTCACCCCAATACCTGGCTCAGGTTTGATTTTATTAATAAGAACATTTAAGATTCCTGCTATATCTGGCGCCCAATGTGGGGCAGGAATTTCCACTTAAAACCTGAGAAAGCGTAAAAAGAAGATTCTAAAACGGAGCTAAAACAGCTTCCTAGTTGTCTTTCTCAAGTTAGCCACAGCCTGCGGGCTTGAGCTACTGTATGGTGGGTTCCTGGCGTGCATGTTTGACCAGCAGTATGGCAGGAATGAGGCGTCTGCAAGTGGCACATTAAGCTGCGTGGTAGATTTAGCCTTTGCTAGTACAAAACAAAACAAAACAAAAAAAGAGGTTTCTGGGATACACGCTGCTTTGATAGAAGCATAGACCCACTGTTTCTGAGAGTTGATGGCTCCCAGAGCTGGCGGTAAACGTACCACCACCATGTTAGGAAGCTGAAGTGGGTGGATCCAGTAGCCACAGCGCCGTTTCAGGCTTAGAAGGCTGCAGTTTAAAGCAATAGGCTCAAGCTAATATAAAAAATAAGCCACATAAAGATGACTACCACACAGAGAATCTGGATTATGTTCTCTTTGATATTCATAACTGAAGAAAAACATTTGATTGCAAAAGCTGTTGAGTTATGCCAAAATGTATATTTTAAAGGTATCTTGACTTCAAAATTTGGATGTAAGGATATGTTACTTTGGAAAGGAGACTCTGCTTTTGTTCCCACAGAAAGCCAGAGGCTATAGATTTGTTCCAGATTAAGATACATCAGGTTTGACCAGCCAAGACCCCCTGAAAGGTCTCCGATGACACCATGGCCCAGATGATCCAACATCCAGAACCGTTTCAAGGCAACTAGCTCAGATGATACACCCTCATGGACTACTCCATAATCCTAAAATTTTCTTTGTGTCCCCATAAGATATAGTGCCCCCTCCAGCAGGAAGTAGTAAGAGAAGCTACGCCCAAATTCCCAAATATACCAAGCTGGCTTTGGAGATGTGTAAAAGTTAAAACCTTCCTCTTTAAAAAAAAAAAAAAAGAAAGAAAAGAAAAGGGGAAGTGCTGTGGGATAGTCTATATGTCAAATTGCTCTGATTGGTCAATAAATAAAACACTGATTGGCCAGTGGCCAGGCAGGAAGTATAGGCTGGACTAACAGAGAGGAGAACAGAGAAAACAGGAAGGCGGAGGGAGTCACTGCCAGCCACTGCCATGACAAGCAGCCTGTGAAGACGCCGGTAAGCCACAAGCCACGTGGCAGGGTACAGATTTATGGAAATGGATTAATTTAAGCTATAAAAACAGTTAGCAAGAAGCCTGCCACAGCCATACAGTTTGTAAGCAATATAAGTCTCTGTGTTTACTTGGTTGGGTCTGAGCAGCTGTGGGACTGGCGGGTGACAGAGATTTGTCCTGTCTGTGGGCAAGGCAGGAAAACTCTAGCTACAGCTCCCCAAGTGGCTTTTGGTCCTGGTGCTTATCCCAGCAATAGAAACCTGCCTAAGACACCAGGTTTGTCTGCTGAGGGTGACAACTTATTGCATCACACGTCAGTGGAGGGCACAGTCTGCCCCTTTACTACCCCACAGAATACCCTTTTGCTCTTTGGGGGCCTCCGCTTTGATGTCCTCACCGAGCCAGGCTTTTCCAGTGACTAATAACAAGAGCATTCCGATGACACACTCATTCCCCAAAGCACTGAAGCTCTACTCTTCTATGTTATCTTAGACATGCTTGTTAGATAACATGTTCCTTCCTCAGATAAGGACACTGAAGCACACAGAGGTCGCTGGTGCCCTGCCAAAGATCACAGTGAGATGATGGTAGATCTGGAATGGGGCCCAAGGCTTGTGACTCCTTGGGCACTTGCCTTACCAGAACAATGTGCAGGCCCATGGGCCAGAGGTTCCCACCTGTGCTCCATTAGCAGGTTTAATGACTGGCTTCCCTGGGGCCCTAAATACCATGTCCTCTCAGAGGTGCCTGCCACACCACGAGGGCTGCTCCTGGGACTTCAGTGTGACAGGTGTAGGATGTATTAACCACATAATTCCAATTCAGTGAGATACATTGCTTAACATTAAAATAGGCTTTTAGAAAACAAGTTTGGTGGGATACTGAACCTGGCAGTGTCCATTCTGAGTATTTCTTTAATATTGGAATCACTTCAGCACCATATTTTTCCAGCTTGTCTTCAGTAACACCATCAATCTGAAGCAAAACCTCAGGATCAGAAGATAAAGATTCTGTGTGTGGACATAAAATTAAGAATTTAAATTACCACCCATAGAAAACCCACTAAATTCAAGTGCATTTACTCATTTAGCTCATATTTGGGTTTTTGTTTTTCTTTCTTGTTTTTTTTTTTTTTTTTTTTTTTTTGGTTTTTCGAGACAGGGTTTCTCTGTGTAGTTTTGCGCCTTTCCTGGATCTCGCTCTGTAGACCAGGCTGGCCTCAAACTCACAAAGATCCACCTGCCTCTTCATATTTGTTAAGAGCCAACTATTGCTGGGCACCAGGGACATGTGGAGTTTTCTAAAAGGCAAAGTTAGACTGGAAATGCAGCAGACAGGCTAGGGGCCGAACCCACCATCTAATTTCAGCAGCAGAGGCATAGACACCAACGTAGTGAGTGGGAGACAGCCAAGTGCCTGGGGGAAGCTGGAGGTGGGATCTGTGCTGGGTGCTCACTTTCAGCATACTCGGCTCCTGCCCACTGTCCCCATGGCCAAGACTTGTCTAGCTGCAAGACTGATGTCCCTGTATTGTTGCAAACACCCACATTCTATCTCTAGCTCTGACTCTTCCCCTGCACTGCAGACATGCACACTCCACCTCAAGAGACACACTACATTGATGCTGCCCCGGCCCTGGCTTGTTCATCTGGTCAGTCCCACATAGGGTGAAGCAACAAGTGGACCCTGGAGTCCTCTGCAGAGATAGCACATACAGCTTACGGCTGGGCAAGTCCCCTGGGGGCTGCATAGGAAGGAGCAGAAAGGGCGCTTAGTGGTTCTGAAGGAAGAAGGATGAAGCGAGCCAGATGTGGTGGAAGAGACCAAGAAGGCTTGGATTTGGTCTGGAGGCCAAGAGTGCTGGCTCTGGAGAGGAAGCGGGTGCTAATCCTTACACTTCTGACTTGAGCAGAGGGTGGATTTCTGATCCTTTCCCATCTGTGATTTCCACCTCATTCCTCTGTTTAGAGGAAAAGTGACAGACTGTGGGTAGAGCAGAAGGTTCATGAAGAAGTGAGGTGAAGTGGGAGAGGAAAGCACATGCAGACCCTTTGACCAAACTATGGTATCTAGTGAGCTACTGTAGCTTTAGTGGTTTTGCAAGAGCTAAAAGCATGCCCTGCTCACATCTGGAATTAAGGAGACCAGTTAGGAAACTACATTAATAGCCAAGGAAAACACACCATTTTTAACCAATTCTAACTCACACAGTTTCTGAAGGCAAGGCGTGTCTTATGAATACTGCTGGACAAACTGCACCTGTCCTGCGCTCACCCCTGCTTGTGCATGTGAGATCTTAAGTACACCTACTAAGAATTAATACTGTCGGCAGGTCAGCAAACTCACTGCTATTGGTACCTCACCGAGTGAGTTAGTTCAATGACATGAAATGTCTTCAGAAAGACTATCAGGGGCTGAGGGGAGGGCTCAGTCAGTACCACACTTGTTGCACATGCAAAAGGAGGAAGCTTGGTTGCCAGCACCAATGGAAAAGCTGGACATAGAATTCTAGTGCTGGGGAGGTAGAGACAGGGACATCCTGGGGCTCACTGGACAGCTAGACAATTAGAATTGTCTAGCCCCAGGTCCTAGTGAAAGACTCCTGTTGGAAAAATAAAAGTGGATTGTGCTTGAAGAGGAATAACATGAGACTGTCTTCTGGTTTCCACACACATGTACACATGCACTCCCTCCCCAAACACATGCACATGAGACATATTAGCATGAAAATGTTGTCAACGTAAAAAGGCAGTGAGACCGAGTAATAGGTAATAAATTTGGCACCAATGAAGTGCTGTCCTTGAGAAAGGACCATAGTTTGTAGTTTTCTTGCAAGCAACACCATGTACTTTACATGACCTAAAAAAGATGTTCAGAGTTGATAAAGCAGTATTACATTTTTGTCACTGAGATGTGTAACTGTCTGTTGACATCTCTGGTATCATCAGAAAAGCACCTGTATTGGAGCAGAAGGGGCAGGTGGGACTGCAGCTTGGAGGACATGGGGCCCAAGGTTAAATTCCCAGCACAACAGCACTAGAAACCAAAACCACAACCAAAACCAGATCCCCGAACCAGAGCGGGGATGCCAGTGATGACCGAGGGAAAACAGAGGTGGCTACTCAACAGGAGAGTCCTGTGCTGGTGGGATGGGGCAGCGCAGAGTGATGACTATGAGGTTTCATGAGGGAGGAGCGCAGGAGGGACACACAGCAGTCAATTACAACAACAGCTTATTTTCCAGAGGCCTTACCGCTGAAATTCTGGGTTAAGCTATCTCAGCCCATGCAAACAACTCAGATCAGCAAATATTTCTCAACTGAAGACAGAGCAGTGTTATAGATCCAGATTTAAAGAAGCCTAAGACAGTTTCTTTCATGTTTAGATCCTCGCTGCAAAGTACTTGTACAGAAATAGCTGAGCATCATGAAGGAAGGCAAAAAATAATTGACATCTGGCTTTATAGATGGTAATTATTCATATCCTAACATTCAGTCTTACAGAAAAGTATAAGATTAAAATTATAGCACACATCTGAACTGTATATATCCTAAATATTTTTACTTCAAGAAAGAGCTTAAGTGGTATTGCTGGGTTGAAAACCCAAAGATTAAACCAAAAATAATTAAAATAGACCAAGACTTATAAAGTCCCTTAGCAGCAGCTCATGCTTATAAGCCTAGTACTCAGGAGGCTGAGGCCAGAGGATTAGCCATTTGCGGCCATCCTAAACTATATAATAAGATCCTGTCTCATCACGGCATGGTGGCACAGGCCTTTAATCCCAGCACTTGGGAGGTAGAGACAAAGGCAGGCAGACCTTTGTGAGTTCAAGGCCAGCCTGGTCTACATAGTGAGATCTAGGCCAGTCAGGGTGACATGGTGAAATCCTGTCTCAATAGCAACAAATTAATTAAAAGACTCTCTTAGAAACAATAGAGTCCTTTAGTAAGAACTTGTGGCCACTGATCTGGGCCCGAAGAGCAAGGTGCACAGCCACTTACCTGCAAGCTTCTTGAGAGTAGCTGTATTAAAAATATTGAAGTAATGAACACCAAAGACCTTCCCCAGCAACTTGCAGACCTCTGTAAGTTCTCCAAGACATTTCTTAACCACCTCTTCTCTCTGGGATACTTTGGCCACTAAAGCTTTTTGTTTTTTTATACTGCTGGAATTTTCTGTTTCCATGAAGTCCACCTGAATGAGAAGGAGAGCAATCAGAGGAATGAACAGAAGCACACTCGTTCTCAAGGAAATCAGAGGAATGAACAGAAGCACACTCGTTCTCAAGGAAATCAGAGGAATGAACAGAAGCACACTCGTTCTCAAGGAAATCAGAGGAATGAACAGACGCACACTCGTTCTCAAGGAAATCAGAGGAATGAACAGACGCACACTCGTTCTCAAGGAATGGCTTTTTTCAGTGTTTGACTTTTTAAAAATTTCTTTTGAAATTCTATTCAATAATACTGTGTGTGTGTGCATGAGTGTGCATACACATATGTCACGGTGCATGTGGAGAGGCTAGAGGACACTGTGGAGTCAGTGCTTTCCTTTTACCGGGTTCTGGGGATCGGATTTGGGTTCCCAGGCTTGAATGGCAGTATCTTTACCTGGTGAGCCACGGTGCCTACTTTTGTATTTCTTTCCTGCCGAAAGGTAGTAAAAACCCCGTGGAACAAGGGCTGTGTATTCTCCATCTTTCTACTTCCAGGACCTAGCACATGAGAGCGCCTTTCGATAAATGCTTATTTAATTTTTCTTTTATTTATTTATGTGTATGTGCGTGCACATGCACGCATATATACATGCATGCTATGGTGTGTATGTAAAAGACAGTTTATAGGAATCTGCTCTCTCCTTTGTTCATGTATGTCCCAGAGATTTAACTCAGGTCATGAAACCTGGTAGCAAGTGCCTTTACCCATCTGCTGGCCCATCAATGCTTATTTAATGAATATAGGAAGATTTAGTAGCTTGAAAATCTATCAAATTCATTTTGACAAATGTCATATAAATTGGTTCAATTTCAAGATCTCTTTCCAATTAAGATCATAATACGTTCCTAGGGAATGCATATGTAAATTTAGTACCTAAGCTTTGGGAAGGATACCAAACTTTGTCATGATATATTCTGGTATATTCACTGAGAGACAGTAAAATGCTCACTTAAAATACCTTACCTTTAAGTGGCCACTGAGCACATTTTGGGCTTTAGTCCCCAGCATCATATAGGCGATTGGTTGGTCATTGGCATTGATATATAAGTCTTCGTCTAAAATTTTGTCCAGTATCAGCTTTTTAAAAAGTCTTTCGGCATTGTGTCGTGAATAAGAAGATCCCTTTCCAAATATTCCTGACTGAATCTTTGCACTCTTGCTCCCTAATAAGGTCCAAAAAGTTAGATGAGTAACTATAGATGTCTTATTATTCATAATTATTCATACAGAAGAGGCTAAAAAGTCATTCAAGGACATTTTTGGACAAATAGAAGAGATCATCTGTTCCACAGGCAACCCCACAGCACAGACAGACCCTCATTTCTGAATTATGAGCCTGTCTGAGGAGAGTGCCAAGGTTTCTGTGGTTGCGTGTACTTTCTCTTAGTGATGGGGCAGGAGCCAGCACCTCGTGCACACTGAGCTTGTGCCCCATCCTAGACCCGCTGCTTCCACTTCCCTTTGTTTATAACACGTTGACCAAAACCACAGCAATACCAAGCTTGTTATTTCAAAATGTTGCATTCCCAGCTTATAAAACTGTATCAGAAAAATAGAGCAAAAAAATAAAGAACTCATGTAAGTGCTAACAGCTTTATACTTCTCTGTTATACTTTATATTTCTGTGTGTTATTGATAAAGTCACACAACAGCCCAGGCTGCCCTCAACGTCACCTGAACTCCTGATTCTCCCATTTCCACCGTCCAAGTGCTTAGAATTACAGGTGTGTGCCATCACACCAGCTCACAGAGTTTTTAAAGAATGTTTTTCACTTATTTACTCATTGTATGTACACATGTGCCACAGCTTGTGTTGTAGAAGTTGAGGACAACCTTGCAGGAGTTAGTTCTCTCCCCACATGGGACCTAGGGACTGAACTCAAGTCGTCAGGCTGGGCAGCAGGCATCTTGGCCTGCTGAGCCACCTTGCTGGCCCTCAGAGAACTTTCGACATTTTTTTTCCCCATTGCTGGGGCTGAACCAAGGATCTTCCACATGCTAGGTAAGGCCTTTGAATCGGTTTTCTAAATACCATCTCTGGTCCTACTTATTTAAATATCTATTCGATTATAAAGTACGTATTTAAGTCTATATTTTGTTACACTCTGAGAAAGCAGACACAAATTCCAAAACCAAAATGTAGCATTTCCTCAGATCTCAAAAGAGGAGAGATGGGAAGTGCCTGCACTGTCCTTCCCCGTCACCCGAGAAGAGCAGTGACCTTTTCATCCAACACAATTTTAAATGTTAAATTAAAAAATGTGCCGGGCGGTGGTGGCGCACGCCTTTAATCCCAGCACTCGGGAGGCAGAGCCAGGCGGATCTCTGTGAGTTCGAGGCCAGCCTGGGCTACCAAGTGAGTCCCAGGAAAGGCGCAAAGCTACACAGAGAAACCCTGTCTCGAAAAACCAAAAAAAAAAAAAAAAAAAATGTTTTATTTTGTTTTTTTAAAGACAGGTTAAGTTAAAAAAAAAGTTTGCTTTTTTTTCTTTCTTTTTCTGGCTGGGCAGTGGTGGCACATGCCTTTAATCCCAGCACTCAGGCAGAATCTCTGTGAGTTCGAGGCCAGCCTGGGCTACAGAGCAAGTTCCAGGACAGCCAGGGCTGTTATACAGAAAAAACGTGTCTTGAAAAACAAAACAAAAATTTAAAAATTGGTTTTTTTTTTGTTTTTTTAAGACAGGGTTTCATTATGTAGTTCTTATTGGTCTGGAAAATGCTATGTAGACCAGGATGGCCTTGAACTCAAAGAAACGTGCTTGCTTCTGTGTCTCAAGTGCTGGGACTAAAGGCATGTGTCACCACCACCTGGCTTAAAAAACTTTTTGAGACCGTCTGTTATACAACCTTGGCTGGCTTAAAACTCAATAGATAGACAAGATTAGCTTTGAAACTGTGGTATCCTCCTGCCTCTGCCTCCCAAGTACTGGGATTACAGGCATGTCCCACTATGCCTGGCTTTGCACAATTTTATCACAACTATTATCTACTTAAAAAGCCTGTAACATAACCAGAATTAGCAGCTACTTTGGAAGACTTTAACTTTAAGAGGGCCAAATAATTACATCATTTGAAATTTCAGATGGCTTTTGGTCATGTATCTTGTACTATTTAAACTCTTTCAATGATTTGCATTCCCTAACGTTCTAGAACAGGACTGCTCTGCTAACGGGCTTTGAAAGATGTAGCGACTCCGCCGCAGGGCATACTAAGAAAGCTCAAGGATGGAGACAAATTTTTATTTACTTATTTCGGATACAGACTTTTGCTATGTAATCTTAGCTGGACTCAAAACTTGTGACAATCCTCCTGCTTCTGCATCCCAAGTGTGGAATGTCAGGAGAGCACCATGCATGCACACAGAAGGGCCAATAAGAAGCTGAAGAACGTGTGACAAAAATGTTTGCTTTTCTTGAACCAATGAAAAAACAAACAAAAAGTTTGCTCCAGTAATCTTTAATCTCTAATTCAATAAATTTTTTTTTTTTATGTTTTGGTTTTTCAAGACAGGGTTTCTCTGTGTAGCCCTGGCTGTCCTGGAATTTCTTATGTAGACCAGGCTGGCCTCAAACTCAGAGGTTCCCCTGCCTCTGTCTCCTGAGTGCTGGGATTAAAGGTGTGGGCCACCACCTCCTGGCTACTAATCTATTATTTGCTTTTTCTATGTGAAAACTCATCTTCGTGACTTTTTAATGCACTTGTAATCACTTCTTTAGATGTTTAATTTTAACTGATATAATTCAAACAATACAGCAGATGACTTACCCAAGAAAATGTCGACCAGCATGTTCAGAGTGAATCTTCCAGAAGGACCTACATTTCTCGTTCCTGGTGATGAACTGTGTTCTTGAACAAATCTTACAATATTTTTCACGTCATCAGTCACATCTTTTGTTTTATAATCCTATGAATAAAAAAAATTACCTTCTGCTGTAATTAAGATAAGGAGACCTAGGTTACTAGAGCTTAATATTAATTGTGGTAAAACTTATAATTCATTTTCACGTTAAAATGAAGATTAAAAACTAAGGAAGTTTCAAATGTTCATTCTTAAATTCTAGAATAATTAGGCCTCTATTGTGGCTATGTTATTGTTGCTTCAGACATATATCTTGTCCTTCATCCTGCACACCTCCTGGAACAGTGCTCTGTCTGTCCCTTGTGAGACTGTGGCCTTTAGGATAAAGTGCTGTCCATAAGTGCAAGTCACCAATTCTCTTAATCTCTTTTCAGCCTTGGTGCTACTGTATTTATTTATTTATTTTTGACAACGTCTCACTATGTAACTCTGGCTGGTTTGGAATTCACTATGTAGACCAGGCTAGCACTGAACTCAGACCCACCTCCCGAGTGCTGGGATTAACTCTATGGGCCACCAAACATGACAATCTCCTTTCCTGATCCATTTCCTTTCAGTTCCTCTTCTTACTTCCTTAGTGTTTCCCACCTTTTGAAGTCCTCATTACTAGATGCTCCTTCTGCCCTCGTCTATCCTGTCTCCATCTTGGCATGAACCCTACATTCCTAGATCAGAGCTGTCACAGAGCAGGTACTCTGCAAGTAAGCGGCTGACAGTAGCCTTTCTAGGGTGCAGTGGTGGAAAGAGCAATGAACCTGCCGATCCCCCCCAGAGTAAATTATTCTGCTCTGTCTAGCCCTGCACATTTCTGTACCACTACTTAGTACGCTGCATTACATGGCTGCCTCCCTTCAGTGGGTGTTCCTAGCACACCACAAGCAGTTAAAAAATATAGCAAGTGTGCAAAAGTCATCATAAATATTAGAACATGAAACTGTAAGCCAGGTGCAGTGGCTCAATGCCTATAGTACCAATACTTGGGAGTCTGAGGCAGAAGGATCACTGCAGATTTGAGGCCAGCCTGGGCTACTACTCTGATTTGATTTCTGTTGCTGTGATAAAACATTATAACCAAACACAACTTAGGGGAAAAAGGATTTATTACAGTTTATAGGTATGTCTATCACTGAGAGAAGTCGGGGCAGGAGCTTGAAGCAGAAACCACGGAAGAACACTGCTTGCTGGCTCACACTCAGCTACCTTTCCTACATAGCCCAGGATCATCTGCCCAGGGAATGGTGCTGCCCACAGTAGGCATCACAGGCTAACCTGATCTGGGCAATCAATCTCTCAATTGAGACTCCCTTCTCAGATGGCTATAGGCTGTGCCAAGGTGACAGTTAAAGCAATCCAGGCCAACTATAAAGATCTTGTCTTTTAAAATATAACACAAACAGGGTGGACACTTGGGAATAAAGTTCTTTGGTAGAGTACTTGTCTAGTGGGCTTGAGGTCCTAGGATCAATTCCTAGTACTGGAGGGTGTGTGTGTGTGTGTGTGTGTGTGTGTGTGTGTGTGTATGTGTGTGTGTGTGTGTGTGTGTGAGAGAGAGAGAGAGAGAGAGAGAGAGAGAGAGAGAAATTGTCATAATATAAGTACCTAATGAATGAATTTAACAGTCTCCAGGGTTATTTCAGGCCAGACAATATTAAACTTATCCACAAGTCATGTCATCATCACCGTTACGACTATTTTTTTTTAAGACATGATCTCACTATGTAGCCCAGGTTGGCCTTAACTCTCCCTTTCTTGTCTCAGCCTCTGAATTGCTGCTGGGATTGATTCATCACTTCCCTTTCACTATTCTTTACAGTTAAATAAGTAATGTTCAAACACATTACTCTTATTACCACTCTTTTGAAAATGAGATCTCTAAGTTATAGTTGAATTTAAAATACCTTGCTCGTCCATGTTAGATCTTTTTGGATGTTTACTATTTTGTTTTTTGTTACTTTTTGAAACCACGTTTCAGGCGGCCCCAGTTGGCATGGACGCACTTAGTGAAGGACCACCTTGAATCCCTGATCTTCCGCTACTGCCTTCTAAGTGCATGCTCCACTAAGCCTGGCCTACGTTTATTTATTTATTTATTTTTTGGAGACTGGATTGCACAATGTAGCCTTGGCTGTCCTGGAGTTCACTATGTAGACCAGGCTGCCTCAAACTCAGATCTGCTTGCCGTGTTTACCACCACACCTGGCCTACTTTTTTTTTTTAAGTTAAAAAAACATGTCAGCAATTTTCTTAATTATTAAAGTTTTTTTTTTTTTTTTTTTGTTACTTTTTGTTTTTGTTTCTCAAGACAGGGTTTCTCTGTGTAGCCCTTGCTGTCCTAGAACTCGCTCTGTAGACAGGCTGGCCTTGAACTAAGAGAGCTGCCTGCCTGACTCCTGAGTGCTGAGATTAAAGGTGTGCACCACCACCACCCGGCAATTATTAAGTAATTTTAAATGACATATTTTACCTTTGTTTTACAGCAATTGTCACAAGAAACATCTGGGTATTTCTTACAAAAATCAGGGTTAAATCCTTTTTCACCAAAGTAAGCTAAAAGCTGTATTCTTCTGCATTCCGTGATATTTTCACAATAATGTACCATGCTATATAAATTATTGAAGTGAGTTTCCTTTGTATGATAGTTTCCATCTTTTTCCACTAAAAGAGATGAAGAACAGAACAAAAAAAATTTTTTTTTACTGGGTTTTCAAGACAGGGTTTCTCTGTATAGCCCAGGCTGTCCTGGAACTCACTCTGCAGACCAGGTTGACCTCGAACCCAGAGATCTGCTTGCCTCTGCCTCCAAGTATTGGGATTAAGTGTGTGCCACCACTACCTGGCCCAATGTAAAATTTTTACAGTAGAAAACCAAAAGAATATTAAAAATAGTATTTAGAGTAGATTCATCTATCTTCCTTTTGTGTTTTTGTTTGGTTTTGGAGATCAAATCTTGCTATGGTTAGATGAGCTTTAGATAACTCTGCTACCTCGGTTTTCTGTGTGCTAGGACAGCACACATGAGCCGCTGTGCTCTGCTAGATTGAAATACTAAATAAGAAAATTACTATTAACAGCACAGTGTCAATGACATCCTTTTATACTGCAGTTCACTGGATGTTTGAGATCACATGTCATTTTTTTTTTAAATATTTATTTGTTTATTATGCATACAATGTTCTGCCTGCATCCCTGCAGGCCAGAAGAGGGCACCAGATCTCATTACAGATGGTTATAAACCATCATATGGTTGCTGGGAATTGAACTCAGGACCTCTGGAAGAACAGCTAGTGCTCTTAACCTCTGAGCCATCTCTCCAGCCCATGGTTTTTAATTTTATAGGAATGCTGGATTTCTTCCTTTTTGAGGCAAAGTCTCACACTGTACCCCAAGATGGCTTTGAAATTGTGAAATTCTCCTGCCTCCAAAATACTGAGATTACTGGCATAAGCTATTTTACCCTAAAATGTTTAATTTTCCTTTTTTAAATTGAATTTTCTTTATGTCTTCACTATCCCAATGATAGAGATTTGTGTTATACTTCCTCTCTAGGTAGATATGTGCTGAGCTGCATATCTAGAGGAAGCAGCAGACAGTCCCCATAGCTAAAAACCTAGGGAAACCAGGGCTTCTAAAACTGTGGTCAAGAATCCAGGGGACCCTAGGGAGGGAGCTCAGCGACAGGATGTCCTAAATTTAAGGGAAATACCTACATCTGTCGCATACCATCCAAACCAGCTATTTGAGTAGTTCATGATTTTAACATGGCATTATATTATATTTCTGGTGAAGTCACAGCTTTGTGACGCTGGAATTTTTGCAGGTGCTGTGATAAAATGAGTCATGCAATAAAGCAAATATGGCAACTCTGGAGGTACCACCTGCAATCCCAGCACTTGGGAGGCAGGAGGATCACGAGTTTGATACAAGCTTAGGTTACATAGTGAGAGCCTGTCTCAAAAAACAAAACAAAACAAAACAAAACAAAAGAACTGGCCAGGCGCATTGGCACACATCTTTGGTTCCAGCACTCAGGTGGCAGAGGCAGACAGATTTCTGTAAGTTTAAGGCCAGCCTGGTCTACATAGTGAGTTCTAGGTCAACCAGGACTACACAGTGAGACCCTGTCTCCAATAACCACCATATCCAACAAACACTTCCAAGGTCTAGGGATGTAGTTCAGTGGTAGAACTCTTGCCTAGCACGCACATGCAGGTTTCATCCCTAGCATGCCCTACACAAGCTTACAGAAAACAGAAACTAGGAGTGGTAGTATCCTGTTCGATTCCAACGTTTACAAACAAGAAATGGGGCTGGTGAGATGGCTGAGCAGGTTAAAGGTATTTGTTGTTAAACCTGATGACCTGGGCTCAATTCCTGGAACCCACCTGGAGAAAAGGAAGAATCAACTCATATTTGTTCTTTACCACTGCACATGCACTGTGGCATGCTTGTATATATATGTACACACATAAAAAATCAATTAAAGCCGGGCGGTGGTGGCGCACGCCTTTAATCCCAGCACTCGGAAGGCAGAGGCAGGTGGATCTCTGTGAGTTCGAGGCCAGCCTGGTCTACAAAGTGAGTTCCAGGAAAGGCGCAAAACTACACAGAGAAACCCTGTCTCGAAAAAAAAAAAAAAAAATCAATTAAAATGCAAAAAACCCAACCGTGCATATTTTGCATTAATAGGCAATCATGGTTACTTAAGAATAAAATTACTATTTTCCTTACAGTTTTTGAGTTTTTATTTTTTCAAATGGTTGCTAGGATACCAGGATTTAAATACTTAAATTATTTTCACTTAACAATACAAATGCTTTTAGAGTTATGAAAGGTCGTATCTTGATAAACCTATTTTGAGGTGAAAATATCATACACAGGACACTGTACTTAATGCACCTAAACTACTGAAGATCCTAGGTTAGCAACATAGCAGACTATAAACTGCTGGTTATTGACCCATGTGGTTGCAAGGCTGACGTCAAGCTGAGGTTGCTAACGCCCCACATAACTAGCTCATAAAAACTTCAGTGTTAGGGGCTTGGGTGAAGGCCACGCGGTTAAGAGCACTTACTGCTCTTACAGAGGATGTGGGTTTGGTTCTCAGGCCCCACATGGCAGACCGTAATCGGCTATAACTCTAGTTCCAGGGAATCTGGTGCCCCCTTCTGATTTCCACAGGCACCAGGCACACAGGTGGTGCACATGTACATTCAGGCATTTATACATACGCATAAAATAAAAATGAGAACCCCTCCAAGGCTCCTTATATCAACATTAAAAATTCAAAGTGTGGCTCAACTGAACGTATAAACCTATCATAAGGCTGCAATGAGTCAAGCCACCATGAACGGAAGATGCTTCTCCAGGTTTTGTTTAAAAACACAAGTCAGCAAAACAAACGTAAACAACTCATTGCTTTGTGCTGAGAATCATTCTGGTACAGTGAAAGAATCATGCACGGGCTTGCAGTAGATGAACTTGCATCCGTTCAGGGACTGCCGCTCACTAGCGCTAGGTCTCATTTTCTTCTCTGCAATGAGGTGAGTGATAGTCTCATCTTTCAGAGTTGTGGTAAAGATAAAATGAGTGACTAGGCAATAAAGCATTTACAACAGCATGGAGAACTGGCTCAGTGGCTCACTGCTACAATCCCGCACTGAAGAGGCTGAGGCAGGAGGATCACAAGTTCTAGGTCAACCTGGGCTACAAAATGAGACTGTATCTCAAAAGAAGACCAACAAAAAAGCCAGCAAACAAGCATGGGAAGTGCATCTGTGAAGTGTAAACGAAGCAGGCCTGCACCAATGGCTACACCACATCAGGCCATCCTCTGTAGCTGTTCCCTCAAGGATCTCGGGGGCAAGTTATAAATCTATTTGTAGTTCACCGTTTTCCCAGGAGTGACTGTACTTCCAAAGCTAGCTTTTATGAATCAGAAAGGTAATAAAGGTGCCAGTCCCAGCATGTCAGTACCGTTTCCCATGCTCAGTATTAGTACCAGAGTAAATGAGACAGTAGTCTCAAAAACACAGAAACATGATTATGAAACATATTTAACTATCACAACAGGGAAAAAAAAGGTGTACAAGTGATAAAATCACATTCTAAAATACAGATTCACTTGACCTACTGAGACAGTTGAAAGTATTTATCCTATATACACAATTGTATAAATGCTGAAAGACATCTGTACAAGGCTGTCCAGCACTATGTGTGATAACACTGAAAGTTATAACTTAAATATCTATTAAGAGGGGATTGCTTTAGTAAGCCCCAAATAACAATGCCATGCAATTTTCTCTAACACTATGTAATTGGAACAATTATACATTAAACCTACATACATATATACATTAGCCTATTACAATTGCATTTACATTTTATTTTTAAAATTACACTTTTTTATTTATGTGTGTAAATGCACACATGCATATGAAAATGTGCATGTACATACATGTGCTACCTATATGATATAGGTGTGAAGGCCAGAGGACAACGTTTGGGGGAACTGAACTCAGGTTGCTCCTAAGTCTAAAAGCATTTGTATTGTTAAGTGGCAAGCACCTAACCACTGAGACATCTTGAAGACCAGCATTTACATTTGAACACACTTGCATGTGGGAAAGGGGAACACCAAACACAAGATGCTGCACAGGGGGTTGCCTCTCCTGCCCCTTCTCTCCCTTCTCCTCCCTCTGAGACTGGGTCTCACCATCCTCCCTTGCTTCTTCTGAGATGGGTTTGTTACATTGCCTGGACCAGTTTCATACTCAACTCAGCTCCTAGGTCAAGCAACAGTCTTACCTCTGCTTTCCCAGGAAGCAAAACTCAGCCATATGCTTCTACACTTAGCTTTCCCCCAGTCACCCTTAAACTGGATTGGGGTACAAGAGTACAAGAGTTCATTATTTTCTCTTTGTCTTTTTTTTTCCCCCCTAGAAATGGTGTTGGATCTGGAAAGGTACACAGGAAGCCACTCTCTGGAGACTCAGCCAGTCTTGTGTGGAAACGCTCTGTTTTGTGCATGCCAATATCACTTGACTTTACCAAACAAGTATGTAGTACCTTCAAAATAAGCTAAAATAAACTTTACAATATAGATTAAAAGCCTCTATTTTTCTATGACTATTTAGTGACAACAGGACCCAAATACTCTAACAGCAGAGGCAGACTGTTCTCATGAGCTGGCACATGACAGAATGTCACCAGAGGTGCTTAGCTTACTCATTATAAGCCTCTTCAGTCTGGTCACGTCGTGATAGGCATAGAAGAGCACGCAGTGAGATACTTCCCCATCTCTTCCAGCTCGGCCGGACTCTTGGTAGTAACCCTCCACAGACTTAGGGAGAGATGCATGAATCACAAATCGCACATCAGGTTTGTCAATTCCCATTCCAAATGCAATGGTTGCACAGATAACCTGGCAGGAAATACAAGTCTGTTAGACTCATAATACATTTAAAGGAACACTTTAAAAATAAAAGATACTTCCAAAAACTCTATCCCTGATCTTAAACAAAAATTTAAAATAACTGCACACAACATAGTATCTGAACTTGGTTCCCGTATTTAGCATGAACAAGATTTTCTTTCTTCTTAGGCAGGGTTTCTCTGTGAAGCTTTGGAGCCTTTCCTGGAACTCACTCTGTAGACCAGGCTGGCCTCGAACTCTCAGAGAACTGCCTGCCTCTGCCTCCCTAGTGCTGGGATTAAGGGCATGCACCATCACTGCCCAGCGAGATTTTCATATTGATAACTTGCAATTCTACTCAGATCCAAGAAAGTAAAGAGAAGTTCAGGCGGCAGGATCTTCCTGTGTGACTTGGTATTACCATCTGAAGGATCCAGAATCAACTGCAATCAGCCCTTTGTGTGCTGTTTTCCCTCTGTTTCTAATCGGGATGTGTGGTAAGTGTTGCTCACACAGCCATGACATCCAAGTTAAGGTACATAAGAAATGTCTTGAGCTCCAGGGTCGTCTTGAGTCCTCACAGTTAATTGCTGCCAGTTCTTCCCATGACTTAGGAACAAAGACATTCTCATCTGCTCTACGCTTATCATCAAGTCTTCCACAGGGTACCAAGTGATCATACACTAACTTATTTTTCAACAGCTGATTTCAAAGTAAAAGCTTAGAAAATTTAACTGTTTTTATCTAATTTAACTTAGATAAAAGCCTAAGTTGCTTATACAAAAACAAAATAACGAAAACCATAAAAATAAGACAGAAAGGCCAGGGATTGTCCTCCTTGGCCTATACAAATTATTTAGTGGCAGCTAGGCAATAGTTAATCTTTAGAAGTGTGACAAATTTGTTTTCAAGAGTATCTATTTCAAGGTCTGAAGAGATGGTTCAGTTGTTAAGAGTATATACTGTGAGCTGAGCAGTGGTGGCGCATGCCTTTAATCCCAGCACTCGGGAGGCAGAGGCAGGAGGATCTCTGTGAGTTCGAGGCCAGCCTGGGCTACAGAGTGAGTTCCAGAAAAGGTCCCAAAACTACCCAGAGATACCCGGTCTCAAAAAACCAAAGAGTACACACTGCTCTTGCAGAGAACCTGAGTTCAGTTTCCAGCACTCATGCTGAGCAGTTCAGCATTGCCTATAAACTGCAAGTGATCCAATGCCCTCTCCTGGCTTTTGTGGGCACCTGCACTCATGTACACAGAATTAAAAATAAAGTAAGCTGGGCTTTGCAAGCAGCTCTATAATTCCCTGTAACTCTAGCTCCAGGGGATATCCAATACCTCTTCTGGACTGAAGGCATCTGTGTTCACATATGTATATTCTGTTCCCTACCCCACCCTACATACACGGTTAAAAATAAAACAGAAATCTTAAAAAAAAAAAAAAAAAAAAGACTATTTCAGTTGAAAAATCTAAGACTTATTTGACCAAGGCCAAAATACTGTATGTTCAGGCAAAATTACATTATACAAATAAAGCCGTCTTTTTTTAGCACATAAAAAATGACTCGCTATTGCAAGAACAGCATTTCAAAAGTGACAGAAATATCTAGCAGTCATACTAAGGCTAATGACACGACTCTGCCACCATGACTAGAAGAGGAACTACAAACCACGTGCACAGACAGGGTCTGCAGATCAGTACATTATCAGCACGGGATGCGCTGGCTTATACTCAAGGTTACTCATCCATCTAAACTTCAGGCTCTTTGATTAAAAGGAAGTGCCCCGGGAAAGAGAAAGTTCACTGCAGCCTTTAATGATGGAGAGCTGGCAAAAGGCTGTGCAAATGAGAGATGCTAGCCCACAGCTCCACCAGAGTCACCTACAGGCTTCTGGCAGGCCAGGTGCCTTCGCGGTGTTCAGTGAGTCCATGGCTGTGAGGCACATGGCACAGGTTACCAAGAAGCTAAACGATGCCAATTCTTCTGCAAGTTCTTCTTCCTTTTGTTTTCATTTGTGACAGGCTCTCATGTAGCCCAAGTAGGTTCAAACTCATGAGCCTCTGGCCTCAACCTCCCAAGTGATGGGATCACAAGCATAAGCTACCATGCTCAATTATGAACACTCTTATATAACTGGGAAAAATGGCTTTATTCAATTTTAACTTCCTTATTTCTGTTATTTTTAAAACTTGATGCTACACTTATTCTTTTAATTAATTAATATTTTATTGGTTTTTTGAGACAGGGTCTCTTCCTATGAAGTCCTGGCTGTCCTGAAACTGGCTAAGTAGACCAGACAGTGTTTGAACTCAGCTATCCTCCTGCCTGTCTACCTAGAGCTGGGTTTAAAGGTGTGCACACAACACCTGGTTCATATATACACATCTATGTATGTATGCACTTTAACAAAAAAAATTTAAACTCTTACATTTTATAGGCTGAAGATACAAGTGCAAGCGCTTAGTTTTGAAGTCACTGTTAGCAATTCTTCTCTTCCGGGGCATTTTAAAGCTTAGTTTCTCCATTATTCAAGAGTATATACATAATAAAACACCAATCACAATTAATACTTTCCACTTAACCTCTATTTAAAAAATGTATTGCGTGTGTGCACACTGTTGTGTTGTCTGTAGTGTATGGCTGTACACTCACACGTATGCATATCCATATGTCTGTGTGTACAATGTGGTGTACATATGTGGTATATGCAGAGACCAGAGCAGGACACTGAGTCCTTTTCCATTGCTCCTTGCTTTCCTGCCTTGAGACAACGTCTTTCCCTAGAAAGGAAGCTAGCAAGGCTGACCAGCCAGTGAACTCTTGGAGTCTGCCTGTCTCTATCCAGTGCTGTTCCAGGCATGCGCGGTGCGCCTTCCTTTACTTTCTTCCTCTTGTGTATGTGTGCACAGACAGTGCTTGTGTATGGAGGCCAGAAGCTGCGTCTTTCTTGACCACTCTTTCCTTGGTTTGCTGAACCCAGGATTTACCTATACACAGTCAGTCTGGTTAGACAGCTTGTCCTGGTGACCTCATGTCTACCTTCCTGGCTCTGGAATTAGAGGTGGGACAATTACATAGGTTCTGGGACTCTCAACGCCAGTCCTTACGCATGAACAGTAAGTACTTTAACCACTGAACCATCTTCCTATGCCCTTGTTAAAAATTATTTATTTCTCTATGTAGCCTTGATTGGTCAGGTACTCACTACAGATCAGGCTGGCCTGGAACTCATGGCAAGCTTCCTGACTCATAGTCATGTACCACCGGACCCAGCTCTATGTTTTATTTTAAACTAAAACACTACATTTATTTATTACGTGTCAAGTCTGTGTGTGAATGCACACATGTGCATACACGTGTATGTACCATACTACACGTGTGAGGGTCAAAGTATAACTTGTGAGAACTGACACTTTCCTTTGACCATACGGGTCAGTTTTGGTGGCAAGCACCTTTCCTCACTGGGCCATTTCTTCAGCTCTGTATATCTTATTTTAGTATAAGAATCTAAAAGGGCCGGGCGGTGGTGGCGCACACCTTTAATCCCAGCACTCGGGAGGCAGAGCCAGGCAGATCTCTGTGAGTTCAAGGCCAGCCTGGGCTACAGAGTGAGTTCCAGGAAAGGCGCAAAGCTACACAGAGAAACCCTGTCTCGAAAAACCAAAAAAAAAAAAAAAGAATCTAAAAGGGGCTGGGCAGTGTGGCACACGCTACTATCCTGCTGAAGTCTTCCTTGGATGCCATTGTTTTTCTTAGAATGAATCCCTATTCCCTATTACTAAAGACAGCATTTTAGCCCTCGCCTCAATTTTCATCTCCTTTGCCCATAACATTCTTAAGTATTCACTGCATCATGGATTCACTGTCAGTCTTACTTTGATGTTTATTACCTAGAAGATAAAAACATGCTCACAGAGAGTCGTGGAGCCTGAAGTTCCCTACCTAGGACCCACACAGTGGGAGGAGAGAACAGTCTCCTGAAAGTTGACCTTCACACAACATGTAGCATGGCACATTCCCCACCACACACACACACACACACACACACACACACACACACACACACACACACACACACACACACACACACACCCCTTATAAAAACAAACAAACAGAAAGCAAAGCTAGCTAAGAGGCGGAGGCAGGAGAATTGCCCTGACTTCAAGACTGGTCTCAATTACATATCAAGACACTGTTTCAAGAACTCAAACAAAAACTGTTGTCTCCTCCTCCACACGCGAAGCTGCTAGTCCCCGCGGGGTCTGCTGACTCTGCAGCCTACCTGGCAGCCATCCTGGTTGATCCACTTGCTCTGCACCTCATCTCTGGCGGTGTCACTGAGGCCAGCATGGTAAGCCAGAGCAGCAAGGCCATCTCTCTGTAGGGTGTCAGCCATTGTGTCGCACTCCCTCCTGGAGAGGCAGTAAATTATCCCCGAGTCGTCTGCCAAAGAAGCCAAAGAGGACTGAGGAGCCAGGGCTTTTCACGTCGTCAACAACACATCTACAGTGCGGTCTAAAAACACAGGACCCCGCTGGGCGGTGGTGACACACGCCTTTAATCCCAGCACTCAGGAGACAGAGCCAGATGGATCTCTGTGAGTTCGAGGCCAGCCTGGTCTATAGAGAGGGATTGAGGACAGGCACCAAAACTACACAAGAGAAACCCTGTCTTGAGAAACCAAAAAAAAAGAGAAAACGAAAACAACAAAACAAATAAACAAACCAAAAAACAAAACCACAGGACCCAGTAAACAGAGCTTTGCAGCCTTCTTATGATACAAGATGGTCACACAGAAGAGCTCAAGCAAGGGATTCACGAACACAGGAACTAAGACTGGACTTGTAACCCTGTTCCTGCAAGGGCAACCTACACTAATACTGGGCTGTCTCACACCAACTCAACAATGGGGAGCTACCTTGACATGAATTTTGTAGGAACACATGACAAAATTACCCTTTGACTCGGTTTCCTTCCAGGAAACCAACCTAGGAAATAAAATGGTACAAGGACTGAAGCCAAAAGTTTTGGTATGAAAGCTCAATAGGCAACATATGGGGATAATTAAGATAAAGAATTATAAAACAAACATACTATAGTTATTAAAAATGCTTCTTCCTAAGTTTATAAAAGTCATGGGAAAATGATCAAGATGTTGAAAATGGGTTACATGGCAAACGGTTACGAACATCAGAATCTCATTTTAGTTAACATAACTCAAAGGCAAACACACTTGGGAGAAGGCGGTGAAACAAAGGGCTGGCTGTGTTATTCATACACCGATAGACGCCAGAAAAAAAGACTGAAACCAAGAATTACAATGGAGGTGTGTAGGAGGCATATCGAATATATTTTCGTTAAGGTTTATTGTTATCGAACCAAATGAGATTTCAAAATTATAATATTCCCCACAAATAGCAAGTTGTTGGTGCTATAATAATGTAAAAAGAAATGTTTAATATGCAATTTTACCTATTCTATTATAGCACAGTAAATATAGAAAGGACTTTTTAAATCTATTACTTTTAGACATAGTTAATAACATGACTGTACTCACATGGGTGATGCTTTCTGATCCAGTCTAGGCAATCAAATGCCACTTTTTTGGGCTTCTTTGGTAACACATAGTATTTCAGATTGTGTCTGTTAAAGCTCATGCTAAACCTAAAAGATCCAAACATAAAATTTAAGTATTATGAGAAAATACAGTTGCACCCATTATCATAGACTGAAAGTTTTTTACCCAAAGTACTTCCCCTAATGTCATAGCATGAGGAGGTGGGTGGGCCCTTTGGGTCGAGTCACCAAGAAGATTAGGGTCTTTATAAAAAACAGAGGAGCTGGAGAGATAGATCACCTGTTAAGAGCAGTCACTGCTCTATCAGAGGACTGAAATTTGGATCCCACACCCACAATAGACATCTCAGAAACATCTGTAACTCCAGCTTCAATAGAATCAACATCTTGTTTCAGTCTCCACGGGCACCCACACAAACACAAGGATGTGTGTACATACACACAGACATAGTAAAATAAATCTTAAAGAGAAAAACACAAAGAACAAAAAAACCCCACCCAAACAGAGACCTCACTGACCCTCCCTCCCTAGTACTTATGGCTCCAATGGGAATACCACCAAGTACAAAACAGAGAGGGACTCCACCAAACAAAGAATAAGTTGGACCTTTGATCTTGTTTTCTCGTAATACAGAACCACAAGAAATAAATTTCTGTCGTCTGGGTCAACCAGTCTAAGAAACTGTGACAGCAGCTCAAATGAAGGCAGCAGCTTCAGATGCTAAACACTGGGGTATTTCTACCATGCAAACCTCCTTACTAAGCTGTCTTACATTGACCTTGACCATTATCCTTGGCAGGTGACATAATGGAACACTGAAATGGACATGAGGTTAAGAATTAAGGATTTTAAAGAGTGGTGATAAAGAAGATACATCTACAGACTAGATGATGGAGATCTGGAATGCAGATAAAGAAAGGCAAACCATGAGTACAGTCTTAAAGATGATGTGGACTGCAAGCAGAGGTGGTGTCTGGGCAGCCGGCTCAGCGAGTGTGAACTGCAAGCAGAGGTGGTGTCTGGGCAGCCGGCTCAGCGAGTGTGAACTGCAAGCAGAGGTGGTGTCTGGGCAGCCTGCTCAGCGAGTGTGAACTGCAAGCAGAGGTGGTGTCTGGGCAGCCTGCTCAGCGAGTGTGAACTGCAAGCAGAGGTGGTGTCTGGGCAGCCTGCTCAGCGAGTGTGAACTGCAAGCAGAGGTGGTGTCTGGGCAGCCTGCTCAGCGAGTCCAGTGCTTGCTATACAGCCACCAAACCTGAATCTGAATCCCCAGCACCCATGCAGAAAGCTCTGCACAATGGCATGCTCCAGGAATCTTGCCACTGACAGGTGAAGACAGGAGGATCCCAGGGACTCACCTCACTAGCCAGGTAATTAGTATTAGTCTAGCTTAACTGGTAAGCTTCTACTTCATGAAGACACCCTGTCTCAATTATGGTGGAAAGAAAGACACCAGATGCTGACCTCTGGCTTATGCACACATTAGCAAATATACTTGCATACACAGATGCATTAACACACACACAGACACACAGTTTCTATTTTTTTTTTTTTTTTTTTTTGAGACAGGGTTTCTCTGTGTAGCTTTGGTGCCTTTCCTGGAACTCACTTTGGAGACCAGGCGGGCCTCAAACTCACAGAGATCCGCCTGGCTCTGCCTCCCGAGTGCTGGGATTAAAGGCATGCGCCACCACCGCCCGGCCCACAGTTTCTATTTTAAAATTAAAGATGGCAACAATAGCGTCTAAGAACGAACAAAACCAAACAAAAGCAGAGATGGCTAAAAGATTTAAACGATTAAGGGAAATCACACAGTAAGTGTAACTTAAAGATTTAAAGGATAACGGGGGCAGTGCACGCGCGCGCGCGCGCACACACACACACACACACACACACACACACACACACACACACACGGAGCACTTTGCTTCTGCTCTGGGCTGCGGAAGGAATGCAGGGACTCTGACACGCATGCTCCTCTTCCTCTAGGTGACTACTCTTGGCTCCCATTTACTCCTTCATGTTTCCTTAGTTCATTCTCTGCATTACCTTCTGTATTTCTAGACTCTTCTGCGAATTCTTTCTTCCTGTCTCAGGCTATCTAGTAGGACCATAGCTCCAAGGGCACTAAAAGCTTCTCCTTCACCCTCCCCTCCATGGCCGGTTTCTCAGAAGATGCAGGTCTGCCGCATCCCGTACCCCATCTGAATGCTCACCATTTCCCTTCCAGTTCTGCCACACCATTCTACCCAATATCTGCTCTTAGGTTTTCTTTCCCATTACTTAAAAAAGTATATTTATTAATGTGGGAGTGCCCGCGGCATATGTGCAGAGGTCTGAGTGGGTTCTCTCCTTCCACCACAGTGTTTCAGAGCTCAAACTCAAGCTGTCAGTGTTCGTGACAAGCACCCTTACTCACTGTACCATCTTGATGGGCTCCCGATTATTTTTAAAACTAAAGCAAGGTAGAGGGGTAACTCAGGGTCCCCAGCCCAGAGGCTCTCTACCGGTCCAGGTGTTGCCTCTGTCCAGTCCATGGGAAGAATACCTAGGAACAAGTTCCGTTAGAGCACAGGCGTATCTGTGCCTGAATCGACACAGCAAACAGTTGTCAACCTCAGGTTGCTTGCACACAGGGGCTGAGGAACAAAGGTGAGGAAGAGTCACCACTGGCTTGCTGTACTAGATTCTAAACCTGAGCTAGATGGGCAGCGTATGCAGCAGGCAGTGGTGATTGGAGTGTGCACAGCAGTGGTCTTTCCGAGTTCCCGATGTTCCCACTCCACGCTGTCGCTGGCCATCAGCTCTACCCAGTCTCATGACTTTACATGTTGGTGGGCCTTCCCCCTACACCTCTGACTTCTCTTCTTCCTTTGCCTACTCCTTAAACGAGAAGTACCTCCAAACGCGTGGATGTCCTCTCTCCTTCTTCTCAACTGCTCCTCAGCTTAGTTGTTTTTCAGAATTCTGAACCACATTCCAACATGTGTTCAGACCAGTAGTCTAAAACTGGAGTAAGCATGCCCTGGGGCTTCATCAAGGCTTTCTAAGAGCATAGGAGCTGAGAGGCATCTAAGGCAGCAGTTTTTAACCTGTGGGTCGTGACCCCTTGGCTACTGAAAGACCCTTTCACAGGGGTCACCTAAGAAACACAATATTCACATTATGATTCTTAACAGTAGCAAAATTACAGTTATGAAGTAGCAAGGAAAATAATTTATGGTTGGGGGTCAGCACACCATGAGGAGCTGTATTTAAGAGTCGCAGTGTTAGGAAGGGTGAGAACCACTGCTCTAAGGGAACCCTCAGCTTTAATGCTATTTTCCCTAAAACAGGAATGAGAATGGCCCTGTACTCCAGTTATCCTGCTGGTTACTCCTTTCCTATCTCCCCTTTGTAAGTCTCTTTCTCCTTTCTAAACACAAACAAGGAAATCTCACCTCCCACCCATTCCGATGTTACCACCACACACTGTCTCAGGCCATCAAACAAGACAGAGTCAATTATGGCCTGGGTATAGGTGAGACCTCTCCTATTAAAGCATCAGAAACCCTCGGCGGGCTGCCTGTGTTTGCGTGCGGTGCGTGTTTTTGTTAAGGGTAAAGAGTGTCACCAGGAACAGAGAACTCCAGCCTTACTGGGGTTCTGATTTCAGAAGGAATGTCAACAGTGTGGTGGGCGTGGGCATGATGACACTCACCTCAGAAGGGCTGACCCTGAAACTGCCAAAGGATGCAGGACTCTGAGTCTTGTGATACATTAACAATTACTTACCACCAGGCAAGAGGGTATGGAGTTTAGAGCTAGACAGAGCTAATTAGTGAGACCTTGCCAAAAAAGCTGCCTAGCAACATGAATGACAAAGAAATTTCCAGAATTATGTGAGTTGATGTAGGTTTCCTCCTGATGAAGGAATGCCAGGGGAACTGTGTAGGAATGACTTTATGCATATCCACTCCCCATTTTAAACTACATTTTATGTTCAGAAAAATGTTTCATTTATTTACAACAACAAATGCTTTGGATCATGGATTCCAAACACTGGGATGCACATGGAGGAGTCAGAGTCCTCATAGATGGATGTTGAAAATGCAAAACGGTGCAGTCTCTTTGGAAGACAGCTTGATAGTTCTTTAAAGAGTGAAGCAGAGGCTGGAGAGATGGCGGAGGTTAAGAGCATGAAAGTCTAGCAGAAGCCCTGAGTTTGGTACCTAGCACCCAAACCAGGCAACTCAAAATTGTAACTAGTTTGCTGCGGTATGGCCTTTCTGTACGCTGTAAATATATGTTGCTACCATTGGTTAGTAAATAAAGCTGCTTTGGCCTATGGTAAGGCAGGATAAGATCCAGGTGAAATCCAAGCAGAGACAGGGAGAAGAAGGCAGAGTCAGGGGCAGACGCCACCCAGCCGCTCAAGGAACAACATGCCAGCAGACTGGTAATGCCAGAGCAAAACATAGATGAATAGAAACGGGTTACTTTAAGATGTACACACTAGCTAGCAATAAGCCTGAGCTGTAGACGAGTTTATAATTAATATTAAGCCTTTGAGTGACTATTTTATGAAAAAGGCTGCTGAAGAGAAAAACAATGACAGCATGAAATTTGCAGGTAAATGGATGGAACTAGAAAATATCATCCAGAAGGACAAACATGGTATGTACTCACTCATAAGGGGACACTAGATATAAAGCAAACAACAATCAGACTGCAACCCACAGAACCAGGGAGGCTGTATAGCTGGGGGGACCCTAGGATGACTCTGGCTTATAGTAAGTTTTGGTTTTACTCAATTACCGGGCAAGCCTCAATGAAACATTTCACTATTAGGATAAGAATTTATATTGTATCAAGCTGATAATAGAAAAATAAATAAATAAATAAATAAAAATGAAAAAAAAATTAAAAGATAAAACACATTTAATATTCTGAAGAAACTCCAGTGTTTTTCATAGTAACTATTTTGATAAGATAAAGAATAACGGGCCTGGGAGTTTGGAGTTTTAGGGAAGAATGCTTGGAAGCCACTGTGAGGGAAACTCAGAGGGTAGGGAAGACTTGCTAAACATTGCTGGAATATCAAGAACCC